GTGTTGATAATCCTGGGGATCCTCAGTAGATGCACCGCTAAATGTAATAGTGAAGATCTTGGGGAACTTATCCAATCTCCACAAAGCCTCCGAAGATGTAGCTGATCTATCACCGGTCTGTGCTGCTGCCCGGCTGATGAAGCGGTACATGACCTCTCCATTCCCGAAAGGACGAGAGTAGAGGTTTCAATTTAGCATTGAGAGAAGAAAATCACACGACAGGAAAGAATGAATGTGAAGTTTTTCCTAACTCTGTAGCCTCTGGGGGATAAATACAGACGTCTTCGTACCGATCCCTCAGACTCTACTAAGCTTGTCTGTGAACTGTGAGACCCATGTAACCTAGAGCTCTGATACCAACTGTCACGACCCGAATTTCCCACCCTCGGAGTCGTGATGGCGCCTACTAATGCGAGCTAGGCAAGCCAATTATTTGCACATTTTACCTTTTTACCCATTTTATATTCATTAAAAATTTCGAAGTAATAGCATTAAAACGGTGGAAGTTAACATAAGCGGAAGAAAAACAACAACTATTTGAACATAAATACCTAGTACAACTGTTTGAGTCTCGACTACCCAGAACTGGTGTCATAGTTTTACAGACGGTCTAAGAATTCTACAAATAAACGCCCGAAAAATTAAATACAACACTGTCTCTGGAAATACATGTAAGAAACAGGAAAGTAGATAGAAGGAGACGCCAGGGCCTGCGAACGCCTGCAGGGCTACCTCGGGTCGCCTGATGAATAAGATCCAGCAATCTCACTGCGGTCCGAAATCTATAATAGTGGGGTCTGCACAAAAGAGTGCAGAGTGTAGTATCAGCACAACCGACCCCATGTGCTGGTAAGTGCCTAACCTAACCCCGGCGAAGTAGTGACGAGGCTAGGACCAGACCACCAAATAATCCTGTGCAATTATATAATATACAACGGAAAATAAAGCAGAAATAAACAAGTAAGGATGGGAGGGGGAAATATGCTTCGGGGAATGACAGGTAGAAGCAGAATATCAAGAGAACTATAAAGGAATCAAAATTCCAACCACTAACAAGAATAAGGAAAACAAAGGCAGATTTCACTTTCTTTTCACATCTTGTCGCAGGCGTGCAACCCAATCTTATTTCCTGTATCTCGTGGCAGGCGTGCCACCAGCTCCCATTTCATTATACCTCGTGGTAGGCGTACCACCCGCTCCCATTTCATTATATCTCGTGGTAGGCATACCACCCGCTCCCATTTCATTATATCTCGTGGTAGGCTGATACAAGCCGGATGAGCACGCTTAATGAGGATGATTTCCTAGTCAACATCATAGCATTGGAGTGCTTTAAAGGAATCAAGATCAAGAAGGCTATAATGGCAATTTAGCTATTTAGCCTATCTTATAATTTGGGTCTACTTAGCCTCCTTAATGGACTAAGGGTATTTTAGTCATCCAGCCTAAATATCACTCTAGTATAAATAGTCCATTCCTCTCATTTTGAAAGGGGGCTTTTGATGATTGATTGATAAACAAAGACCAAACCTTGAGAAGTTTAGGGTATCTTTTATTTCTCTTTATTTACTATGTTTTTGGATTATCTATGTTAGGTTTATCATGTATGAGTTCATGTTTATACTATATGATTATCTTTGTATTTGAATGTTAATTCATTGTTCTAGTTGATATATCTTCTAGGGGCTTTGGATTGCATTCTTTACTTAGCTTAACCATGTTTCTTATTAGTGTTCTTCCTCAATTAGTGTTTATCATAGTAAATTCAAGGGTCTAACTAGTTCATAGTTAGATTCTTGTCTTTTTCTATTTTAAACCCTAATCTTCTATCTTTTTGATTCCGTACATTTTTGCATTATCTGTATTTTCGATACGATTCCGTATCGAAAATACGGAGGTTTTGGATTGTTCTATCCAGGTCTTCGTTTTGATTATCAACAAATCAGAAAATCAAAAAAAAAAGTAAGATTACTATTCATCTGTGTTCTAAAACGGAAATCCTAGTGTTGTTCATTACTTATTTCCAAAATATTGAAGTTTTTTTTTCTCTGTCAAATTTTGTGTCCGAAAATTGTTGAATCCACTGAAAATCGACTGGTAACAGTTGAAAATCGTTGGTTAGATGGGTTCTAGTTCGAATTCCACTCCATTTCCGACTTCGGGTTTCTGGCTTTGCTCAAATTTGAATTTCGCTGAGGATTTGAGTACAAAATCGATTGGGTGTTTGAGATTTTAGTTGGAAACACTGATACAAGGTGGAATCTGAAGATTTGAGATCGATTTGAGCTGAATTTCAGGGTTGGTTCGAGATTTCGCGTAAGCTGGCTTCTAGACGGTAGAAGGTCGTACCTAGGGTTGTCGATTTCGTCATTGTTTCTAGAAATAGATTTTGTAGGTTTGGTTCTAATTGGTGTTGGGAAGTTGTATTCGAAGTTTTGGGAGTGTTGGAGTCCTTGTTTTGAAGTGGTCTCGATCAAAATTTTTGGAGTTGATTCGACGAAGAAGACGAGCTGGGATTCCTTTGATTCCTGAACTATTATTCAAAATTGATTCCAGAATTGTTCTCCGTGTCGAATCAAGCTCGTATATCAAAATTTGAACTCGTTTGATGCAGATTTGAGTGAAGTTGCATAGAAAATTTTGAGTCAAGCTTGAAGAACTTCGAAAAAACACCTGCTGGAAATTTGAAGAACTTTGCGGACTGGTTCGAATCGATTGGAGCAGCTGAAAAATCATTGCAACGAATCAGGTTTGATTACTTGAGTATAGAACTGAGCTTCATCTCCATGTTTCTGGAAATTTTGTCATTATTGCTAGTGGGTTCGATTGAGTTTGCTGAGCCTCAACTGAATTTTATCTCCATTCTTTGGAATTGTTTGATTTTAAATTCGTAAGTTCGACTCGAGTTCCTTAGTCAAATTATGCTTGAACTTCTGAATTTTGAGATTAGTTCTATTGGTTAGAATGTAGCTTGAGTTTTTGAGCTTGAGTTTGATTCCTTGAAAGTGTGGTTTCATGTCACGAGCTATTGTTTGAAGAACTGGACATACTTGATCAGTTGTTTGGAAGTTCGGGAAAGAGTTGCAAATTGTTTCAGTTCTACTGACCTGTGAGTTAACTACAGTTTGTTGCATTACTGCCATTGCTGGGAAAATTTGCACTGCCGGTTCTATTTCTTGTTTCTGCTAATTGCTAGTGAAGGTTATTGAGAAAATTCAAAAATCCTGCACTGTTGAGCAGTCCATTGCTAGAAAATTTGTACTGCTGGTTCTGTTGTGTCCGACCTATTAGCTACTGAGAAGTCTAACAATTCTGCTGTTAAGTTGCCGAACTTTAGCTAGTTTGCTGCTGTAGATAGCAAAGTTTGCACAATTTGGGCCGAGTTTTTCTGCCCGGTTCCAGTATTTTGAACAATTTCTGCACTGGTTAGGCTCCAGTTAAGCTGCAAATTTACAGCAACTCATTGAGTTAATTCCAAAGGCCTCTGCACAGGTTTTGTCAACAATAGGCATCAATTGAGGGTAGTTGTTTATCAGCAGTCCTGCAATATTAAAATCTGCAGTTTTACGAGGTGTAGCTGGGGATAGCTACAGGTTGTTAAAGCTGTTTTGAGGTTGAAAACTTGACTAGTTGAACTGTAAGTTTGATCAGGTCCTGCTTGATTCACCTGCTTGGGGTCAGCTTGATTTTTCAGAAGTTTCACCTGTAACTTCTGCCCAGAAGTTTGTCCAGAGAAGTTTGCTAACAACTCTTGCTACTGAACCGATTTGAATTGAATTTGAGGACCTTTGTCCTGGAGTACTGAAGGTTGGAAATGACTGCAGGTTCATGAGTACCACAAAGGGTTGGATTTCTAAGTTGTTACGGAGATCACCAACAGTCTACAAATCTGTCCAGCTGCCCTCTTTTGCAAATCTAACCACTTTTACAAACATGTCCAGTTTTTGCAAATATGTCCAAAATTTGAAAATGTGTCTAGTTTTGTAGTTTCTTTTCTTTTTTTCCCTATTTGTAGTAAACTAAACTCTCAACTAGATTAACTTGATATTAGTTCATATTGAGTTTAGTTCTAGTTTCTTTCTGTGCTTTATTTATTTCGTGTCATTTCTTTCGTGCTTTTCTCTTTATTCTCGTTGTGAATTGTTTGGCTCAAGTCCGTTAGTTTTTAATTGTGCTTTCTTTGGTGTCACATACATTCCATTCCGAACCGATACTTGATTGCCTACTTGGGTTTATTTGGGAACATTGGTTGTGAAGAAATTTTTTAGATACCCTTGTGTGGAAAAAGGCTTGAGTGATGAGTTCAATTGAGCAAGGTCGCAAAATCCTTTGACCTTTGAGTGTAAACACGAGTGTTGAGTGACATATCTATTGAGTGATACACTAAGGGAGTGAATTGTGAGGTCCTATTTTTGACTAACCAACTTTCTTGCTTTAAGTTTTCTTTTGTAGGTACAAGGAGTCATAAGGCAGGTATGGATGGTTATGGCACTTCTTCTTATGAAACTAATTGTGCTCCTCCAAGTGTTGAAATCTTTTATGATGAAAGTGGGAGAAAGATAAATTTGAGGCATTATGTAGCGAATGTAGAAGGCTATGAAGGTTGTTTGGTTGTTATAAGTACTCACTATGCGACCAATTTTATTGCTTCTTCCTTTGTTGAATGGTTGGGATTGAGTTGTATTCCAAGGGAATTGCCTTATAAATTTCGGGGTGAGTTGGTTGCTAGAGGCGTGATGGTTACTATAACCAAAGGGGACTTTAAAGAAGTGGTTTGGTGTGATGTATACCCTATGAAGTATTGCCATGTACGATTGGGAAAGCCTTGGTTTCTTGATCATAATCTTCCTATTGATGTAGAATGGAATAGGTATGTGGTTGATATAAGGGGCATTCCTTCATTCCTAATCACTTTGAGGATAAGTTGTTGGCAAGGCTAGATATTGGAAGTGGAGTTTGGAGTGCAAATCAATTTCATGATTGGGGATTACAAGGATGAAGTAATTTATGGGTTTGTTCCATTACATGCTTGCCATATCATCCTTGGGCGACCTTGGTTGTATGATAGAGATATTTTGCATCAAGGAAGGAAGAATCGCTACTCTCTTAAGTGGAAAGGCAAGTTAGTGACACTTGAACCCTTGGAACCAAGTCAAGTCTTGAAAGCGCAAATGAGTTTGAGAACATCCTTGAAAAATACAAAGAGAAAAAGTAAGGATGAGAGACAAAAGAAAGAGAGGAGTGAGGGAGAGAAAAGTGACAACTCTAGGGTGGAAAAAGGAGAGGAAGTATGGAGTGAAGTGAGTGAGTCGTCACAAGAAAAGAGTGAAGAGCTTGACAAGAAAATGAGAGAAAAGAAAGAGGAAAAACAAAAAGAGAGTGAGGATTTTTCTTATTCTAATGCTACTAATCTTTCTTCTTTCTCTAGTTGTTTTGTATCTTATGTAGGGACTTTTGGAGAGGAGCCATCAAGTGACATTCAACCAACTTTGAAGAGCTTGAAAGAAGATCAATATATCTTTTCAAGAGAACTTATGGAATTCCTTGAGCAAGTTCAAGGTAAAGAGAATACTTTAGAAATGCTTCAAGGTAAAATAGCTTATCCTTCTACTCTTGATACTTTAGTTGATTGTGGTGACACTTTGAGTTTGAAAGATAGCTATGATATTGATGAGTTTGATATTTCTTTATCTTGTGATGAGAAAAATAATTGTGGCTTGCAACTAGCTAAGAGTTCTTGTGGATTATTGGATGATTCTAGTTCTTTGTTTAATGACTCTTTAGCTAGTGATGATGTTGAGTCTTATGATAGTCCACCTTTATGGGATGATGCATGTGATGATTCTTTTGACTCCACTTTAACCTTGTTGGTAGAAAGTTTTGAACTTTATGAAAAAACGACTCAAGAAAATGTGTTGATGAATTTTTTGATTCTATTTCCATTCCTTTGGAAGAAAGATTCAATTTTTATGATGGAATAGGCAAATTTGAATGTGGTGATTTGGTTGATAGTAAAAAGGAAAGTAAAGTTTTTGATGCTAGCATTAGTATTAATTGCTTTACTTATCTTATTCCTACTTTTGAAAGAACATTCTCGTTAGATTTTGCTAATGCTTCTATGAGAAAAGGTAAGAATATTACTTTTGGTGGTTTGATTGATCATTGTGAGCAAAAAGAACCTAACTTTATTGATTATTTTGTGAAGGTTCAACAAGGAAAAGTTGCTAAGGGTAAGGAAAGTCTTGAAATAATACTTTGGCATATTATTTGTCAAGAGCTTTTTCTTTTGTCGGAAAGCAAGAATGGTATGTACATTTGGCTTATGCTTATCTTGTGCTTATCTAAAGCCATTGAGGTAAAGATACATAACTTTGAGTATTTTGATATTCTTTGTATGATTATAATTGCTACTCAAAAGTATTTTTCAAACTAAGTAGCCAACTTTGAAAAACACTTTTGAGAAAAACACTTATTAAAATAAGCTAATTTTACAAGCTTGGCCAAACTAGCTATAAGCTTCTTCTGAGAGATAGAAAAAGTTGCCATGTGAAGTTGTTGTTGGAAAGTATATGGATACTCGGGGATTAAAGTTTGTTTTTGACCCCGGAGTTGTTCCTTATTGTGGTAAAGTGTCTTTCTTTTGATTGGAGAGTATGATTTCTATTGCTTCTTATGACACTTGGTTATACCATAAAAGTGTGCACTTTGTTGAGACCTTTACAAGATTGTGGTTTTATTGGAGGCATGTGACTTTATCTTCTCTTGGTTCTTCTCATGAGAATTATTTTTCTTATAGTCAAGTTTGCGTCATTTGTGTTGAAGATGTATTCTTTATAGATTATGACACTTGGTTATATCATAAGAGTGTTAATTTTGAGTGCAAGGTTGAGAACTTTGATCTTTTAGCTTGGACATACCATGCTTTGATTGGGATTCGCTTGGTACTTATGTTTGTACCTTTCTGGTTTTGCAAGGTCCAAATTCGAGGACGAATTTCTTTCAAGGGGAGGGAGGATGATACAAGCCGGATGAACACGCTTAATGAGGATGATTTCCTAGTCAACATCATAGCATTGGAGTGCTTTAAAGGAGTCAAGATCAAGATGACTATAATGGCAATTTAGCTATTTAGCCGATCTTATAATTTGGGTCTACTTAGCTTCCTTAATGTACTAAGGGTATTTTAGTCATCTAGCCTAAATATCACTCTAGTATAAATAGTCCATTTCTCTAATTTTGAAAGGGGGCTTTTGATGATGGATTGATAAACAAAGACCAAACCTTGAGAGGTTTAGGGTATCTTTTATTTCTCTTTATTTACTATGTTTTTGGATTATCTATGTTAGGTTTATCATGTATGAGTTCATGTTCATACTATATGATTATCTTTGTATTTGAATGTTCATTCATTGTTCTAGTTGATATATCTTCAAGGGGCTTTGGATTGCATTCTTTACTTAGCTTAATCCGTGTTTCTTATTAGTGTTCTTCCTCGATTTGTAACGACCCGGCCGGTCGTTTTGAGCTTTTGCACTTTGATCGCCAGTTCTCGGGCATGACTTGCCCCGTGTTATGTATTATGACTAATGTAGATAGTTGGTTTTGGTTTTCAGGAAAATTTGGAACGAATTTGAAAGAACAGTTTCAGTTGAAAGCTTTGAATTTGAAAGGTTTGACCAAGAGTTGACTTATTTGTATATGAGCTCGGATCGGAGTTTTTATGAATTGGTTAGCTTCGTTAGGCAATTTGTGACTTAGGAGCGTGATCGTAATTGGTTTTGGAAGTCCAGTGTAGAATTAGGCTTGAATTGGCGAAGTTAGTATTTTGGCGAATTCCAGTTGATAGGTGAGATTTTGATCCGAGGGTCGGAATGGAATTCCGAGAGTTGCTGTAGCTTCGTTAGGTGATTTGGGATATGTGTGCAAAATTTCAGGTCATTTGGAGGTGTTTTGGTCGGGTTTTTGATCAAATGCGTGTTTCGGAAGTTTTAGAAGAACTTAGGCTTGAATCCGATGTAATTAGATGGTTTTGGTGTTTGTGGAGGTGTTTTGATGATTGGAGCAAGTTTGAATAATGTTTTAGGATGGATTGGCACTTTTGGTTGAGGTCCCGGGGGCCTCGGGGTGATTTCGGATGGCCATCGGGATGAATTTTGGACTTGTAGCATTTCAGAAGTTTGCTGGTTCTGGAATTTCCGCATCTGCGGAAAAGGGGCCGCAGATACGGTTCCGCAGATGCGAAAAGGGGATCGCAGGTGCGGATATTGGCTATTGGGGGATTTCCGCAGAAGCGGATGATTTTCCGCAGGTGCGGAGTCCGCAGATGCGGATTGTGACCACAGAAGCAGTTCTTGGCAAATAGTGAAGCATCGCAGAAGGGGAGAATTCCGCAAAAGCGGAAACCGTAGATGCGGTAATTGGATCGCAAATGCGAAAAATGTCTGGGCAGAAGGGTTTTAAAGCTTCATTTTATTCCGCGAGCTATGGTATTTTCCCACCATTTTTGAACATCCTTGAGAGCTTTTGGACGAGAATTGAAGGGGATTTCGACTGGGATTGATTGGAGGTGAGTTCTATGACCTAAATACATGATTTAATTGTAGAATCAACCTAGAAATTCATGAAAATTTATCAAAAAGGGAGAAGAACTATGGCTTGAGTTTTGGTATTTCAATTGGGTTTTGATGGGTCAATTGAGCTCGGATTTGGGAGTTCTTGATATGTATAGACTCGTGGCGAGATAAGGAATCTGTTGATGTATAATTTTCTGGAATTCGAGAAGTGGGCCCGAGGCTTGGGTTTTGCCAATTTTGAGATTTTTAATATTTTTCGATTGTTTTCAATTGGGTATTGTTCCATTGGCATATTGTGATGTATTCATTCTGGTTTTGGATAGATTCGACGCGCGTGGAGGCCGATTTGAGGGGCAAAGGCATCGCGAGCTAGAGATTTCGCCGGTTCGAGGTGAGTAATGATTGTAAATGATATCCTGAGGGTTTGAAACCCCGAATTTGCACACCATAGTGCTACATTGAGGTGACTTGCACGCCGGATAACGAGCGTGGGGTAGAGCACCGTTGAGGGATTGTGACTTGGTCCGTCCCGATTGATGATTTTACCGCGTATTTGACTGAAACTTATTTGTTATTATCATGATTTGGGCTGATTGCCATATTTGGGCTTCGTGCCAATTATTTGAACCCTTCGGGGATTTTTATCACTGTTTCCTCACTATTTTGATATACTACTTGAATTCAGTCCTGTTGATTATACTGTTTTACAAACTCAGCCGCTTTAATTGAACTTTGAGACTTAAATGACATTTCCACTGTTGTTTGGGCTGAGCACTACCATTTTATTGATGCCCGAGGGGCTTATGATGTTTTCTGGACTGAGTGAGGCCGAGGGCCATATGTGAGGATATGTTGAGTGATGTGAGGAGGCTTTCAGGCCTCGTGAGTGATGTGAGGAGGCTTTCAGGCCTTGTGAGTGATGTGAGGAGGCTTTCAGGCCTTGTGAGTGATGTGAGGAGGCTTTCAGGCCTTATGAGTGATGTGAGAAGGCTTTCAGGCCTTATGTTATATGCCACGAGGTGGCTTGATATTGCGCTTGGGCCGTATGGGGCCCCTCCCGGAGTTTGCACACCCCCAGTGAACGCCGTCGACGATATATGGATCGGGCTGCACGCCGCAGCGAGATGCGGATCGGGCTGCACGCCGCAGCGGTTACTATGTGATACTGTTCTGAGAGTGATCTAAAAGAGAGAGCCCGAGGGGTTGAGAGTGTTTCTGAGAGTGAGCCCGAGGGGCTGGTACTGTTTTGAGATATTGCCCGAGGGGCGAACTTTTATGTGCTCATCTTGCATATTTACTTGCCTTTTTACCTGTTATACTGCGATATTTGTGCCCGAGGGGCGGAATTTTCTGTGCTTATCAACACTAACTGTTTGAAATCGTTTTGTAACTGTTGAAAAGATCATTTTCAAAAGAGATTTAAACTGAGCCAATATATTTCTAAAAATTTCACAGCTTCACTATTTTCTCAAAGGGTTGTACCCTGCTTCTATACAACATGTTGGTTGCTTTACGTGATTTCTTACTGCTCAGTTGTTATTTACCTTTATTACTCACTGAGTTGGAGTACTCACTTTACTCCCTGCACCTCGTGTGCAGTTGCAGGTATTTATTTACCCGGTAGCGGGTATTGGCTGTGTGGAGGCAGAGCTGTAGTAGTTTAGTGAGGTGACTGCCAGCATTCGCAGCACCGTTTCTTTCTATGTTATTCATTATTCTTGTTCAGTGTATTTCTAGACTTGTAAATGTAATTACATTCTTATAGATGCTCGTGACTTGTGACACCCCGGTTTGGGCTGCGTCGGGATGGTTCTACTATTATTATCTAAGTTTCCGCAAATTATTGTTATTAAATCATGCTTCATAATTGCTTAACGGTGATTAACTGCTTAAAAGAGGTGTTCTGTATTGGTCTGGCTGGCCTTGTCTTCACGAGAGGCGCCATCACGACCGGGTTCGGCAATTGGGTCGTGAAACGATTAGTGTTTATCATAGTAAATTCAAGGGGTCTAACTAGTTCATAGTTAGGTTCTTGTCTTTCTCTATTTTAAACCCTAATCTTCTATCTTTTTGATTCCGTGCATTTTTGCATTATCTGTATTTTCGATACGATTCTGTATCATAGGCGTACCACCCGATCCCATTTCATTATATCTCGTGGTAGGCGTACCACCACCCGCTCCCATTTCATTATATCTCGTGGTAGGCGTACCACCCGCTCCCATTTCAGTATATCTTGTGGTAGGCGTACCACCCGCTCCCATGTACAAGCCAACAAAATCACAAGGGATCCTGGCAAGGGAAACAATATTATCAACAAACATCCTGGTAAGGCAACAATGATATTTCAACGATATCCCGGCAAGGGAGAAACAACTATAACCAAACTTGTCACAACAACTAACTACCTCATCTATAACCAAACTTGTTACAACACCTAACTACCCAGCTATAACCAAACTTGTTACAACACCTAACTACCCAGCTATAACCAAACTTGTTACAACACCTAACTACCGCAGCTATAACCCAACTCGTTACAACACCTAACTACCTCAGCTATAACCTAACTCGTTACAACACCTAACACAAAGAATCATCAACCTAAGCATCTGTAACATCGGTTAAGAACACAATGCAAGGGAACCACAACTCAACAAATAGCCCGGCAAGGGGGGGGGTCAACATAATGATCTATTTTCAATTCTCACTTATACTTTCACAATTCGCTATACAACTGGAGCCAACGCTCATCAATGTTCATAACTCACAATTCTTTCCACAACTTTATACAACAAATAGAAATCTTTACCAAGGCATGAATAACACAACGAAATCATGAAAATCACAATATAAGACTCACGTTCATGCTTGACACCAACGTATAGATACTC